TTGACGGTTCTGGGAGTATAACAGAAATACCATGACATTTCGGATGTAAAATCTACAGCATACAGTTCCAGATATAATTGGAAAAAAGTTCATAAAGAACTCAAGATGTCTAATTGCAGCTGTGTCAACTAATATAAAACCTCACATAAATCAGATTCTTGTCTATTCATTAGCCAATGTGTCAGCAAGCAGATTAGTGATGTTGTAGGAACAGTCTGGGGAGAGTCTTCAGAATTATGACTTCCCCATTAATTGTAGTTTTGCTTCCATTATGTGCATAACAAATAAAAAGTGTTGCAACAAAGGACATGGCACAAATCTCATTTGCGCAAAACACATTTGAATGGAGATCGATATGCACTTTTGGAGCATGACAATTTTCTGCTTGTAATTACGGGAGGACATGAATTATCTCCACTATAACACGGGATGACTTTCAGAATGACTAAAACAAAAGAGCCAGATGGAACATAATGCATGTGCCTGCATTCAAGTCTCAACAAATTTTCAAGTGGTCAAGCCAGATGATGTATAATGGCACCCCCGAAAGTCTTAACCCCCATTTCATATGAGGGAGAAATGAGGCATACTGTCCCATTATATTGCTATAAATCATTTTTTGTGGACGGCTGACAGCTTTTTATCAGATCTAACCTTTTCAAGCCTCCATTAAGAGTGCTAACATTTTCAACTCTGACACATTTGCAGTTTACGAATCTCACAGCTGATGTACTTTGGGAGGGGGGCACGCTCGCGTCCATGCTCATTTCCACACAGGCTGTCCATTGTGTTGGCGTTGGTGGAACGGGGGAGGGCAAATAGTAAAAGGGCTCTGAATCTATTTATTTAACTCTACATTCACTCTTTTAATCTGCTATACTCCACCGCAGAGAAGTGTTGTTGCTGAAAAGCTATTTTGTGGTAATTCTGATTTACTCTATCGATTCTTTAATGGTTCACAACTGCGGCATGGAGGGCAATTAAGGGCCACAAAGATCCCTCATAATCTGAAAAATGAGTGGACTCTGTCAGAGAAGAGATGCTGCGAGACTATGAAACAAGCAAAGACTAGACAAATAACATAAAAACAAGTATTATATAAATGTAAGAGAAACCCTTGTAGCCATCTTTGTGACTGTGCTGTGATGTGGAAGGCTGTAGTGTTAATGTTTTGACTGATATTTTCTTTTAGTAGCCGCGATACATGCTTTCCTGACAACGAGGACCAATCATTGATCTATAAATCCATCTATTTATCCATCCATCAAGCATCAAAACGTCTCTGCTGTCTGTGGTCTTCCATTCCAGATACACACCTTTTACAAAGGACTAGAGTCTGACAACTACATATTAAGTAACTAAACCTCATAGGGACTACAGTAGCACGGTCAAAATAAGAAAAAAGACAAAACTAACAATCAAAAAAGCGCAGGAAGTCAGTAAATAATTGCCATTATCTAAATGTATTTGGCATTAAGGATTTGGTGAGCTAAACTAATCAGACATATACAAGGGCAGATCTTCAGTTGCTGCTCAGAGAGTCATTGTAGGAACTTTGCCAACCGTAATTGATTTAAGTACACCATAATCAAGGAGGGACAGTTAAGGTGGCACCACAGAAGGGTCCATATTTCATTACATGCTGTGTTTAACCTTACCCACTTCTCCTAAAACACACAAGAGGCTCATTATGTGTTTAATATTCACCATCAGGTGAATAATTTTTATGCAACTCTTGATAGTTGGGGCGAGATGGATAACTCAATTATGTGAACATCCGTCAGAGCAGAGGGCTCGCTGGTTCTGGAACGCCACCAGCTAAGATTGATGGCTTGAAGACACCAATAGCTGCTGCTACGCCATCTCATCCAGGCACTGGGCCTGAACACGCCGTTTGATTCTGCAAGAAGACCGTTTTTCTCTCCATCTTTTTTTCTCTTTTTTCCTTGGGAGCATTGTAGGTGAAGCGTCATTACCCCTCACTCCACTGAAGAGGGGTTCATTATGGGGTTAGTGTGTTGGCAAGACTATTGTTTGGATGATAAATGCAGTTGGTGAGGGCTTTGGAGGAAAAATTAGTTACGTTTTTTTTCTTCTTTTCGTCTACAAAATCTACGTCCCCATAGCTCACTCCACGTTGCCGGAGGGCAAACAAAGAACAATTAACACGAGCAATGAGTGAAGCGGCTCAGTTAAAGCAAAGAGGGAATTCATGAAAAATAAGCAAATCACTGGAAATGTCAATCAGGAGCAATGAAGTCATTACAAACACTGCTGTGCGAGTCCAAGGGCAGTCAAAAAGAAAAGCGAAAGGTTTAGAGTCAAACGTTGAAATCGGAGTTTGAGGAATGGACAAACACCCTCCACATCAGCCCATCAGGGCCCGTCTCATAAACTAAAAGCAACTAATGAGAAGTGAAAGAAGGATGATGTCACCCCATCACTCTCTTGTACCCTATTTCTCTATTGGTTTATTTTCTTGTGACTACAAAGAGCTGACCCCAAATTCTCTGCTAACACACATAAACATGCACATGTGTGCGCGCACACACACACACACACGATAATACGTAAGGTCTAACAATAAGAGAAAGATGAGGCACATTTTCAAATGTCAGCAGTAAATGTCAATTAAAAATTACAAGGGTGCTGGAAAAGGTAGGGTCTGAAGGGACTGACATTTTTTCTTTTTTGACACAACAATGTTTATCTGACCGGGCTGCTGGCTGACATGACGGGATCTACTTTGTCAGTTTCTTAATACACTCGGACAGGGCCGCCCCAGTGAATATCAATGAAAGACACCCGTAGGCAAATATGTAAGGCTCAGACTAACACTAGCCATCCAATCAGCCTGTTGGTATTCTGATATTTTGATCTACTGTAATGTAATGCCACGAGTACCAAGGGAGGAAGACCAAAGACAGATTAATGCCACTTTCTTCAATCCAAACCAAGAAAGAACATCGACTTACACGGTAAAATATGTATGATCTTAATGTCACCCTAATCAAATGAGCCCTCCTTCTTTATTGCATTACTTTAAGTTTCACTGACTGAGACATCATTTAGTACTTTCTCATTAAACAATGGTCTGGGAATGATCTGAAGCTTAAGCAAAGCTTTGTATTGTTACCAACTTTCTTAGTGATATTTAATGAGGCCTAACAAAGATAGTAACCGTCAACAATCTAGATTGGTCCTTTTTAAATTCACACCTCAGTGGCTTTTAGTTCCTGACGTCAACAATAGTAATGGAAGCCTGGAAGCAGGCCATTTCCAAAATAAAATAAAATAAAACACATCATTGATTTTGACCTTGACCTCATCTCCTGCATTTTAACTGCTCAATGCTATTGGATGAGTCATCTTCCCTTAAAATCAAATGATTGCTCTGCTGGCAGCTTGTGAGTGAAATCAGTTGAGCAGTCATATATAGGTGGGCATAACATTTTACCGAACGTTGACCCATTATTTCCCTTTCATTTACCTTTCAGTCTACAAACTGTTATTGCTTAAAATACAGATTAATTTCAAATGGTTTGTAGTATATATATGGGAGGAATCTGGAAGAAATCCTGACCTGGTACTGCACATGCACCAATAAAACAAAAAAAGAGAGACAGAGAAAAAATCTGGCTGTGCCTGCGGTCTGGAACCTCCTGGCACTCCAGCACCATGTCACAACATGTCAACTGGCTGTCACGGCTGAGGGGGGCCGGGGCCGCAGTGAGGCGAGTGGCGGCAGTGTGAGCGACTTTTCAACTTGGTGACTGGAACCCAGCACCAAGGGAGGCAGGGAGGTGAAGACCATGTGTGATTGACCCCTAATCTTCCTTCTGTGTGTGCCTATTCATAGCCCTTTTTTTTTTTGCTGGCATTTAATAGAGAAATAGTTAATTTATTCAATGGACACTATTGGACGTGTTCAGCCTTTTAAACTAGCACACGAATGACTAAATAAAAAGAGGCATAACCTTTCAACCAGCTTGTTAGTCTTGTGTTTTACAGTGATGAGAATGAAATTTAATTAAAGTTCCTGTTCTCTGTGGGTAGACTGTGAAAAGATTATATAGATCCAAATTATCTTCTCTCAATAGAAAATTAAATACAAATTATTAATTTCTAGCATTGAAACTAGCGGTGGAAGAAAATATTGAACATATCGAGTATAGCCAAATAATGCTTTTTGATACCTTATCGACGATCAAAAACACTATTGATTTTTAATGAAGAGTTTATGTGCAAAGGTTAACTCAGTCAATACTTTCTTTAATTTGCAAAGATGTGTTATATATGATGTTACAGGGACTGTAAAAAATGCAAATGCAAAACCTCTTTTACTCAAATTTTACACATATGTGCTCTTTATACTATGATCGTTTTACTAAAATTTGGTTTAAAAAATTGCAATATGTCGCCTTGCTCACAGAGCTGCAATACAACACAATATATTGAGTCATAACCCTGTATCATGATATGCATTGAATCACCAGATTCTTGCCAATACACGGCCCCGATTGAGACGGACACATTCACACACCTCCGTTCCCCCACAGAGGGTCCGACCACAAGGGTCCGTTCCTGTCCGAAGTTTCTCATGACAACAGATGCAATAGATTAATCACACGTTTACCAGCTTCCCTTCCAAAACAATGTGTGTACTCTGGAACACAATCAGGCTCACAGGCAGACCCTTCAGACTGTAAAAAGGCTCCAATGACAGGAGTGGATGTGGAAGTAGTGTGATGTGCAGATGTTGCATGTGGAAGTTCAAGTGTGGGGTTAGTGTGGTCTGTGCCAGGGAGGAAGCGGTTAACGTTGTTTGTCAGAGATATGAGCTGCCTTTGTGATACTGAGAAAAGCCGATTGTGGTTTGTGGTCAAAAAGGAGAAGTTATAAACAATACGCCAAGTGGGGAAAATAGTAAAACATGGTTAATTTAGATAAGCATATGAAAACAGAATACAAAGTGGTGAGAATAGGAAGAGACGACTCACCTGTTCCAGTAGCTCCAGAACTGTTCATTGAGATAGGTGCGATGACTGTGGTCGTCTCCGAATGAGGCCTTGCTCTCAATCCAGTGCACGATGTGTCCCTCCACAGCTTTCCAGAAACAGAAACACAGAGCGACCCTCAGAAAATCAGTGAAAAGAAAGCCACACAAGCAAAATCCAGAAGGGACATGTGACATTTCCTTTGATTTATTCACCAAAATCTAAGAAAATCTGGCATTAACATGATAATGTTTTGACAACTGCATAATTTCTCTTGAAACAAGGTGGCCAAAGTAAACAAGCAGTTATTTCAGATATAATTACATTATATATGTAAATACTAACCAATGGGAACCTCCAGGATGATATCAGGTGTTTTGTCGTAGCCCATAACTCTCAGCTGGTTTTCATCTACAGGAGAGAAAGTGCAGAATTGTAACATCTAACTCGTACTTTGCAATATGTTGTACTCTTCATTAAACAAGTTCTGTTGCATCAATCACAGGCAGGTAACCTAACAACCTTCACCAAGGTGCTGGTAACAAAAAAAAATTGTAAGTGTTAGCAAAGCAAGCACAGTAAAACCATTAACTACATCTGCCACGTATTCGCTGTCGATGCACAAAGACCCGTAAAGCCCGGTTACAGAGCTGCTTTCCAGTTTGGCAGAGCTTTGTAAAATATACAGCGAGGGGACAAGTTTGGCATTATAGCCTCTGTAAGTCTGACCCCTGCCTTCACAGGCCGCAGCCATTGTCCTTGACTTCTGGTGCGCTTCGGCCATTATCCCCACAACACCTGATTTCTCCATTAAATCTCAGGCTGACCAGGTCATTCAGTTCCAAGGGCCTGCCTCTTTGTCTCCAGCCAAGCTCAACTAATGGGGCATGGAAGGGAATTGAGGAGAGATCGAGGGTGGCGGTGTCAGTGGTGAGGAGGTAGCGTCAGCCAAGGGGGGAGAAAGAGAGCTGAGTGAGGTCAGAGAGGCTGCCAGAGGCCTGTGGTACAGAGGGGCATCCAGGCTGTGGTAATGTGGGTGTTAATGTGTATGTGGTGGGATGGGAGCCTCTATTCATACCTACTGGGCTGTTGACATTGTCAGGTGGCTCTGATCGCCTTTTTACATCACCTTTGATTAAAATTAATGGGCCATCCCTGCTGTTGGGTAGCTTATTTCCAATCCATTTATCAGATGGGGTGAGGCCGCCTGAGTGGCCCTTGTGCTACCCGAACTCTGACAGTTTTAGAACAGCCCTTTGTACAGCTCTGAAGAAAGGTCAGCACTCCAGGTTCAAATATATGATATGGTCTTAATGACAGTGGGAATGACTTTTGTCCTTCATCACTCATCTGACCTAAGGGAGGGGGGTGGGACGGGGGCTAAAAATTCAGTTTCACAATTTCACACCTGGACACTCTACCTTGATTTAATATCGTTGGAACAAGATAATGGTGTTAGCAAAGTAGAAGATATTAAGACAACAAAAGTATAATTTGGTTAAAATATTAGAAACTACAACCAAAAACCAAAAACAACTCCTATATATTAATAAAGCCCCCGAAAAACTTATTGGAAAAAAAATGGTCCTCTTAATGGTACCAAGATAATATGGAAAAGAACCTGGCCTTTTAAAATCCATTTAGAAAAAATTGGCTCCGAACTCTGAAAAACTGAACAGCAACCTGACAAAACATTAAAGTTACCTTTGAAGCTTTTAGTCTATAAATATTCATTGTATGCCGGTGCATCAGCATCCAAGGATATTTGATAGTGGCTTCTGGTTGTTAGCAAATCAATAAGAGATAACATCCACTGCATCAGTCGTGTTCAGGCCGTCCTTTACTAAACTTACAAAAAGTCCACACACTGCCATGACCAGATTGACTTTAGAAACATAATGAGAAGGTCAAGAGACGCCTTACCGAGGAAGGAAAGGTTCCTCTCCTTCAGTTTGTCACAGAGCAGCACCTCGTGCTCTTGGCCAATAGCGCTGAGAAAAGAGAGTCAAGGATTCCAACATGTAGCAGTAGCGGTACTTTATAGGTACAATGTAGTTTGCAGTGGTAACGGGATCAGTGCAGAGACGTGAGGTGATGTAAGCTCAACTGTGCATGTGTATGTTTGACATCAGCTAAAGTTAAGAATCTGTTTTTTTCTCCACTCTTGGCTTCCTATGGAAAGTGAAAGTCAATCCTCTTTCTGCTGATGTACAGAGAGCCCAATCAAAGATTTTAGTTCAACCTTAATCTGCTTTCACAAAGAAAATCTCCAAAAGTGCATTACCTTAATGAGGAAGAAACAAATGCCAATTTGGCAAAATACATAGAGTGCTTGCATGCTTTTAGAATAACTGCCATTTTGCATCAGAATACATGCTGCTTGATGCCACAGAAAGGTATTCTGCATTTACCAAGGCCGTATCTCAAAACTGGCTTTTTCCGAGAGAGAGAGAGAGAGAGAGAGAGAGAGAGAGCGAGAGCGAGAGAGAGAGAGAGAGAGAAAAGCTCTTAGGCCAATATGCTGCCCTCAACAAACACCAATCTCTCAGAATGGATTTAATTAATACATACATACCATGATTGACTCAACTGCATCCCTCTCATGTGAGGATGGAGCTCTTTCAAACCACATAATAGGGCGGTTATAATGAACTCTCTGTGGCAGAGTAACTGACTCTAAGTTGACACTGACGAGAGGACACCCAAAGAAAGGTAAAAAAGGGGGGGGGGGGGGGAAGGAGGGTAGGGCGGGACAGGGTTGACTGGCTATGAACAGAACCCAGCCCCACCACACACAAGAAAGCCTGGACAGACACAATAATATACAGACGTACCCATGTACACTCATTCAAATAAGTCTCCTCCCCCAGGAAACAGTTGGTTTGCTACCCAGCTGCTTGCCCCTAAATAGCTTGGACTCCAATTCTGCCCCTATAGTTAAGGCCAAGCCCCTGTTAGATAAGGAGGGGTATTTATAGTTGGGCAAAGAAAGGGAAGGAACTATAGAGTGCAAAAAACTAAACAAAACTCAAAATTAATAGTTCAAATTAGACTGTGTGCCCAGAACTCTCCATGGTGCTGAACAGCATAAGAATGATCAGAACTAAATTTAATTAAAAAGGACTTAAAAAAAAAATCAGCATGTAACATGCTTTTTTAAATTTTTATTAAAGTAAAATAACAAATCATCTGGGTTAACTAAAATACCAAATAAAAGAAAACATTAAGGCTTATGAATGATCTTCTTTTTGTTCTTGTATTATAGAACATTGGGTCTGATCCACTGTGTGCACATAGAGATGCATTCAGATCAGCCAATCATCTCCTCCTTCTCTTCCCTCCATCGCCTTCCAGCCGCTGTACCGGTGATTGTGGGCAGGATGAAACACTTCCTCTGTGAAGCAGAACTTTTATGTCAGGTGAAGCCAGACACATCTCATCCCCTTCAATAGCTCCTCGTCAATTTCAGGCTTAAAATTTTATGGGATAGGATACTGTTTGATGCAGTCTACCAGCGGTCCATAACAGCAGTCATTTATTGTGCACTGAAAAGAGGGGGAAGAAATATTATGGCGTGCGAAAAAGAGTGGGTGGGTGGAAGGGAGGTGAAGGAAGGAAGCCCATACAGTGCCGGGAAAGGAGAAAAACACAGGAGATGCTGGCAGATTGGCAGGCATGACCGCCGGCTCTCACGTGACCTCATCAGCAAACATGAGCGGCTGATGCCGTCTGTCAGCCAGGTGGTTCAATAACACCTAAAAAGTCACTGTACCTAAGCGAGGGGATTAGTTACATGGAAAAGGGCAGCAAACTTAATAAAATGTTATAAAAATTGATTTGAAGTAATTAAAAATCACTCCATGACACAAAACAATTTAAATGATTTCTTGTTTCAATTTAAACGTTAACACTTACCTGGTAGATGTTTTTGGCCAAAATTTGGTCTGGAATCAACGTCGGCTCCTTGAGCATGCCGCTGAGGACGGTTTTAGAGGCTGAGAACAACACGAAGGCAAGAGAGGGAGAGAAACAATTACAAAAATATATTAATATTTACACACAACTCACGTAGAACATTGTAGCTTGTGTAACAAATAAATGTAAAAAAAAAAAAATGATATTGTAATTGCTGCATTGAATTGAGAGCAAACGGTGATAATATACAGAGGAAAGACAGGCTTGACACGCTGTAATTCACCACGCCACTGTTAGTGCAGTATTTCCACACTAGTCCATTAGATGGCTGCTTGGTGTCTATACAGATTTTCTATAGATAAATGTTTCAGTCCAGAGCACAGGAGCCCCATGTAGTTTATCTATGCTATGAACGCTGACTATTCTGCATCTCTCATCCTCATTCTTGCTCTACTAACATTATAAATCAGAGAGGAAAGCCTGCCGGATTGATTCGCTGGTAGTGCAACAGCAAAAAAAAAAAAATCCTTAAATCATTTCTTAAAAAGATTTGGATTAAATGGATTGTATCATTGTGTGACGAAATGGTTGAGGCACGCCATTTTAGTGATACATGGTCCTGACAGACTTGCAGCATTGCAGACAATACAAGGAATGTTTCTATTCACATTTCAGGCATGAATGGTGCCTGTACCAACACTGCACAGAGATCTCCGAGCTCATCTAATAAACTGTGCACCGTATAGAACTGTTAAAAACAAGTCAGTTTATGTGGAGATTTATAGAAAATGGATAAAAACAGAGATTGAAAAACCCCTAAATGAAAAAGGAATTAATTGGAAAAGACTCGGGTGTACATTTACAAACACTGATTGGATCATTGAGTGTTTCTTCAATTCATTTCATTAATAGAAATGCATTTGGAAACCCTTAAGACCTTTCTTCTCAGTCGTCTTTCCCTTTGCATTTCTCTCATAGACATCACTCCCTGAGTGGACGAGCAGTGCCGTGATCCCTCATCTACCTTAAATGATGAAATAAAGAGGGAGGAGTGTTGAAGAAGAACAAAGCACATTCAGTGCTCCCTACTCTCTTTCTGTTTATTTTTCTTTGTCTCCCATCTTTCTCTGCCACCTCTCCTCCTTTTTTTTTTTTTTTTCCTGTTTCAGTCTCTCCCAGCCACGGTACTCCCCCCCCCCAGCCCACCCCACCCCATAACCTCACACTCCCTCTTAGAGCTGCAAGGCACAGCGCGGTGCTTTATTTCTTTGCTCATTTTTCTCAGAGATTGGTACCTTCACACGCAGATCCATACCAGGCTCCTGTGCAGTGCAGGCAGCGGAGAAGAAAGAGGGTTATATTTTCCCCTTGAGTTAGGACACCTCATGACAAATGATAATGGATAATCAATAAAGGAGGAAATATGAGGCAGCAAACTTTATGAAGCCAGGAGACATATTACTCCCCAACAACACTGGTTTCCCTTAACAAAGTCACTACTCGACTGTGCCTAATAATCTGAAGGAAAATCAAAGGAACTGCAACCACATCAGCAATATTGGCAACTTATTCCACTTTAATGGCATTTTGATTGATTTTTTCCCTCTTCCTAATGGTCCTTTTATAGATTTGACGCTGCTTCTGCAAAACAGTAGTGTGTAATAAACCTCCCCGAAGGCAAACGGCAGCCATTAAAGCTCTTGTCTTACTAGCGCTCATAATTGGGGGTTGACCACCACCACATTTTGGTCTCTCACATAACACACACAAACAAACACTTCCAGGCCCAGGCTTCTCTGCCCCTCTCTCTCTCCGTGTCTCTCCAGCGGTTTGACATTTTTGGTAGATGGCCATAATAAGTGATAGGATCCCTTCCTCCTGTTCTTTTTGAGCGATGGGGTTAAAAATAGCCATAAAGAGGTGACCTTGGCGCTGACATTGTGGAATTTCAGCCAAGCATTGACCTGATGAAAATGGAAGGCCAGGGTGCTAATAAATCAGGATGCTTTTAAAATGAGTTTACCCTAATGCTCATTCATCACAGGGCTGTAATGCCATTTGCAGGCCCGGGATTCGCTGCCGTGCACAAACACAGCAGTAAATAACAACAGGGCTCTTGCATCCCTCGCATCGCTGCAGCCTCCAACATCAGCATACATTTATTAAAGACGCCCCCGCCTTGCACGGCAGCACTCCTCTATGACACCCTGAGCTCCTATCTGCCACACACACACACACACACACACACACACACACACACACACACACACTCTTTAAATACACAGACTCAAGGCACACACAGACGCACACATAAAACATGTGCAGGAAAATAAAAAGCATAATCTGAAGAACACCAGACACAGAGAACAAAGCCCTGCAGCACGACTGCACCTTGTAAACATTCACCAAATTTACTGTAATTGTCCCATGTTGGTATAAATTCTGACTAAGGCACTATATCACACCGTCAACATCTGAACAGAGAAGAACAGCGAAAAGGAGAATAATAGATGTGAAACGCTACGCCTCCATTGGGATTTGCTAAAGAAAACAACCAGTGTAAACAAATCACAAGCCTGTTTTCATATGCAACTCCAAAACAAGATAAACTACATAAAGCAAGGTAACGGCAACATAAACTTGCCATTTTTACTTATTGCATACTTGTGTCATTTGTAACTACTCTTCCCTTCTCCACGAGGGTGTAAAAGTCATTATCTCAAACCACAAAAAAATGTTGAGGAACCTCATTAGACAGCAACATTTGTTGAGGGAGGACCGTAATAAACAATAATGGATGACGATTGTTATTGCCCCTGACACTGATGAGCAAGTTTGTTTATTAATTAAAAACCCCACTTTTTTTCCACGGGTGGGGTGGGGGGGGGCATATCCATTTCCTCTATATACCCCCCCCCCCCACACTCCCCATGCACAAGCCATTGAGCTGTGGAGGAGCACTCGTTCATCAAACTTCATGGAGCAAGGGGGAGACAGGTCCTGATAATGTGCGCCGCTAAAGCTGATTTTCCATGATGAATCTCGGAGCATATAAATTGGCTAATATCTGAAAACATTTACAGATACTCGAGGAATTGACTACTTGTGGGACATGATGGATGAGGCTCTGCGACGCTGGCGGACAGCTCTGCAAATCTCTGCGGCTGCCTAAAGCCCTCATTTGATTTTCCAATTTACTCCTTTTAAATTTATCCTCCCGTATTGAAAAAAAAAACAGAAGATGAGAAAGAGAGAGAGAGAGTGAGAGATGAGAAGAAGGGGAAAAATGTGTGCTTTTTTTTTTTTTTTAAATATCTGTGGTGGTGTGTAGGTGCTAGTTGATGATATGAGGTGGTATCTCCTGTGCAGGAGGAGCTCAGTCCCTGAAGAGGTTACTGGGGCAGAACTGATCTGCTTCCACCTGATTCTCCCTGATAGCGGTGAGATGAGACTCTACATTCCGGTGTGTGTGTGTGTGTGTGTGTGTGTGTGTGTGTGTGTGTGTAGCAGGAGTAATAGTAGATCTGGGGAGGCTCTGCTATGGAGAGAGGCTTCCTAGGTCAGGCCATTAGACTGTGGCAGAGGCTGACTGGAGCTTCTCTGCTGAAAAGGAGTAATTAGTATACTTGTCAAGTGAAGTGCCACGCTGCTGCTTACCTCCCTTGCACCCACCCCTTGCATACATACACACACACGCACAGAAACACTCATCCTGCCTTTGCCTCCTTACTCCCTCCCTTTTTGCTAATGAAGTGGCCCTTGCGCTCCTTATTTGAAAAAAGAAAGAGCTGCATATACACACCAGCTCCACCATAGCGGAGAGGTGAGAGAAGAGAGGAGCACTTGAAGACAAGAGAGGAGGAACCATTACAACCATAGTGGATACGAAAGTTGAGATTTTACTGGATAGAACATAATACAATATTCAGTTATCTACACGTCTGATCTGCAAAACACTGAAGCTATTATGAATTCTGTCAAGGAACCAAAGGATCATAGTAGACACTAACATTCTCACAGTGTTAACATCAAACACGGGACATTTATAACCTTGCGCACAAGGCTTCTGTAAAGGAATGTGACAATAAATCTTGAAGGCAGTCGAATCACATAGTTACAAAACATGGAGCAGCAATCTAATCTGGAGCTGGGCCTTGGGAAAATGGAAAAGGTCAAATAGCTAGCAAAATTGCCTCCTCAAAAAAAGTGTCTAAATCTAGAGGCACATCAACTCCTGTCAAAGGAGGAACAGAGAGAAAGATGAAGAGATGGCAGGAGGGGGAAAAGAAAGAGCAGGAGCTCCCCCAATGTGAGGCAATACGAGGTAGTATCTACAGACATGGCAATAAGGCCGTTTACAGTACAACTACCATTTACAGTGTTTATCGGCTGAGACACACATTGTGCACACGTTGGTTTAAATCCACTTGATGATATCGGTCCATGTCAAACAGCTTTCTTGTCAGCGTAAACATTTTCAAATGTTTTAAAATATAATTTTTGTTGCATTACAATTAATTTTGGTTACGGCATTATTTCTATTACTTTGCAATCCAGTGATATCAGTATCGTTTTTTTTTCATATATCATTTTTAAACAAAATTAAACAAACAAAATCAGTTCAATTTAATTGAACTTTGTTATCATCACAAATACTTTAGCCCTGCGATAGTCTGGCAACCTGTCCAGGGTGCACCCTGCCTCAGCTCCAGCCCCCCCGCGACCCTGAACAGGATAAACGGTTAAAGATAATGGTTGGATGGATATATACTTTAGAAAAAAGAAGACAGCGGTATACAAAAAAATAAAAAAAAATGTATAATGAATCAATCTGAAAGCTTAAAAAACAATTTGATCATAATGATAGATTTAACAGTAATAATAAAAAAAAACGTTTTACTACCTTAGTTGTGTTTCTGTTTTATTATCAAATTCAATATGCTCATACAGTGCCTTACTTGTGCCTCATAAACTTAATTGACACCTAATGTCTAATGTTCGGGACATTAGTCCATAACCAAAAACCATGAGAGGAATTCTAGCATAAACATCGAAGCTCTCTGAACTGGCTCAGATTGCTGGATTTTTTCCCCCTAAAAATCATATCAAGTGCAGCTTTCAGTGACCTGAAAATAGTGGATATAAACGGTGTAAAAGTGCACACGTGACCTTTCCTCCCCTGCTGCCCAGTCCGTTTCATGAGACAAGGAACATTATGGATGTTGATATCATATTCAATACGTGATAAAACTGCTTTGAATGTATTGATTTATTTACAAGCGCCACCAGATAGTCTTTCATTCTGCTTGACTGATGCTCTCTCCAATACTTTTGCTGCAAGGAGATGGGGGAGGGGGCTTGTTGGTGGTGGTGTCATGTTGAGGTAAGGTGGTGGTGGTGTGTGTAGCTAGTGTGACGGGAGGGCAGGGGTGTGGGAGGTGGGTGGGTGGGTGGGGGGGGGGGGGGGGGGGGGGGGCAACAACAAGCAAGCAAAACAAAACAAGGAAAGGACAGAAAACAATTTAAAACTCTGTATTGATCCAGTACTACTGATTGTACATATATTCCACAGTCCCAAAGGCCCCATTCCTGTGTCTCTTAAATGCAAAGAGACAGAGAAGGGGAATAAAAAAAACGATGGTGCTAGGCAGAGGCAAGCCACTCACCCAGTTGTGGGTAATGTCCCTTATATAGAAGTCTATTGATCTTTGCAATGTGCCTGCCCGCCCTCCCTCTGGAGTCTGACAAAAACACACAAATACACACACACACATACAAGCACACTGGAGTGCAGTCTGGGGCTGGAGGGGGGCATGACGGATATACCTGACAATAGCACTGAACCAACCTGTTAGCTAATTGCCAGCCAAAGACAATTATCCTTGCATTGTTTAATAATGGAAACACATTACTGGAGTCTAATACACACACAGGGAGATTGGACGATTTGACCGCACAGTCCATGTGGACGGCAATTCATTTGCAAAAAGGCCAAGTAGTTCACGGAGAGAGTGCAGAGGAGCTCTGTCAAAACAAAAGTCACCCTCAAAGCAACCGGCTTCACAGCTGGCAACATTGGGAAGGAGCAGCATAATGACATCATCATTTGAAAATAGTAGGTAGGAGTCAAACTATATTACCTGAACGACACAGTAGAGATTAATCGATCTAAATGCTCGTGTTTTTTCACAGCGTGTAGGCGTAGCTAGGCTGATTTGGATCTATGATTATCCTGTAACAGTCATCTAGCGTCGTGGGATCACTTTCCACAAGAAGAAGAACCATGACCATGACATTACTCACTAGCCTGCAAACACTGAGATACCGCATGGTTACAACACTCTTTGTTTGAAATTAAACAACGATCATCCAGGAAGTTTCATCAGCTGCAAATCTATTCTGGGCAATAATATAGGATGTTTTCACTGTATGGAGATGGAGGGACGCAGTGTGCTATTATCTGAGACGGAGTGCTTCTCCTGGATGAATGCCCTGTTCTACAAGCTGCTCAGACTAGTATTTTGACAGGCAGTGGATAACGGTGGGTCCAAAGCAATCACATCTTTGACTTTGACGAATGGCTGTGCTGTGGCGAAGTTGAAAATAACACACATCCACTTTAATCTCTTTCTTGATTAAATTGGAATCACGTCTTTTTTGACATCATGCGATTCACTGTCAAAGCACTGACTACTGCACACACACACACACACACACACACACACCTATTGAAATGTTATGGAATCATGTATGCATGTGATATTGGGAGTTCCTGTGTTTTTGTATGAATGAACAAACGTCACATGTAAAAAGGTAAAACTGGCAGTTTTTGGGGCCAAAAATGATTACAGAAGATGACGTAAGAAACTACTAGAGAGGAAAATAGAAAAAGATATTAACCAGAATGTACATGGATTATTTTTACTCACACAATATCTGGAAATTGTCTTTGACATGTTTAACAAAAATATTTGCATCTGGAATTATTTTTTTTTCTTCACCCGCAGCATGTCCATCAGCGCTACCTAGAAATAGTTTGCTTTTTCTGCCACACTTTTCCTCAACTCAGTTTCTTTTGAAGGCCAAGGCCAGAGCAGGGACGGAGAAAGAGAAGCGGATGAGGGAAGAAGAGAAAGTAGAGGCTAGATGGATGCATTGGGGGATGAAGGAGGGTGAGGAAGGAAATCAGCAGTGTTATAAATAACACTGATGAGGTGAGCTAGAATTGATCCACACTGCAGTTGAGAGGTGGGTGGTCCTCCCAGTGCTTAATTGCCAGTCATGTGCCCTGGGATGCAGCTAGTACTAAATGTGGTCTGTCTCTCATTAGGCTCGGACAGGCTGAAAATACAGCAGCTAGAACTGGAATTGGGACTCAAACAGAAATGAGATTCAAAAGACAAAGTGCTACGATTAAGACTGATGGGGGGGAATGATAGAAAGGACAGAGTGGGAAATGGAAAAGTGTTACTCACGCATTCCACCCTCCAGGCCCTGAAGGAACCTGTCCAGGATGATACGAGCCATCAGTGCAGGAGACAGATCCACCTTTACATAGATTGAACAAAAAAAGAGAGAATTTGCCTTAATAAAAAAGCTGGCTATCTGGGGAGTTAATGCTACTTCAAAACATAAGTATAATGGAAATGTTATTCCTCTCTGGAGAATTACTCCATTTACAAACCTTCAGACTAAATCCCACATATCTAGTTGGAAGTGCAAACATATTTCAAAGAGCCGAAGAATTTACACGGCCAGTCTACCTTTGGCTGATGTCATATAGATAATAATGATCGTAATGGCTCTAAATGATATTATTGCGTTTCCAAACCTTGACCTAACTTTCGACAATCCCTGTGAAAATTGGTCATTGAAAGCGTTTGCTCTGCAATAACCTTTCCCACAGGAACAAGAGTTCGCCAATTACACAGCCAAGCTACCCAGGCTGAATTGCCTTCGCCTCTGTCAAACCGACGAGCGTAGTCTCTCACCTCGTATGAAAAAGCAGCACACACTATGCCCGAGCAAAAGACAATGGAGCGCTTTAATCATAGGATGATCAGCAAGGCAAAACTTCAGGAACCAACAGGACACACCGGAGGGACTGTGGGAATGCAGCCCTTAATAGGAAGGATAGAACCTATGACTGCAGCGCACTTTGAACACAAAGACACCTTGCGAGGTGTGCAATGTTGTTGTTTTTTGGAGTGCAGGGAGATGCCCTGACAGGTAAGGGAGCACTAATGACGGATACTGAAGGTGTTTTTCTGACTACCTTCTTAGAAGCACAATGCATACATTATAAATTACATTACCATGAAAGTGTGAAAAGAATGGTATGTAATGGAAAAACCAACAGCTATTATTTATTCTATTATTCAGTACAATTAACAGGCATCATCCATAAAAAGGTCCCAATTGTTCAAGGTGGTTTATGCAGAACTCTTTAAAAAGGTAAACCAAGCGTATAGAGCTAATGCATTTTCAAAAGCAGTGCATTTTGCCTGAAAATAATGAGAAACATAAAGTCATTCACTGCTAAATTTCACAGCCTCTTCAGTGTGGAAGGAATTAAAACATTGCTTGAACACAAGCGATTCCTAGCCGGCTCGTTATGAAACAAAACGTTCTTGCAGCTGAAGATCGTTTTTTTTTTTCTTCTCTTTTTAGCATAATTGGGGACCAAAAGTGAATTTGCCCTCAGCCTGTAGTGGGAATGGAGTGTTTCATCTTTTCTCTGATGCTTCCTGGTAACACTGGGAGCAGAGAGGCTTCTGTCTAAACAATGTATTTTTACCCGCAGTAGTATTTGTTAACAACTCCATAATATTGCAATAAAGCGGCTTCTAAAAAGGCCAAACATGTCTATAATAATTAAGGGATGAGCACAGTGTTTATATTTGCATTAAGACCTCTGATATCGTTTTAAATTCAGCATTTGTAGCTTGCAGCTTTCCTCTCCCCGACCCTTTTTATTTTCTCTTTCTTCTCTCCTCTCAATCCTTATTGGCCGGCTCTCCATTCACCACCTTTGGATAACGAGAGAAGAGCATCCGATTCCTGGTAACCTGCACCAGAGCTGACACATGAAAAATGGCAACATTACGAACGCTGGCCCAGCCTGAATAAGGACCAACTGATTAGTTCAGGTACCTGCATCTCCCTAATTTTCATATTAATCATGAGTCCATCTACATCCTTAAGTCAGACTGCGGCACATCATGAGTTTAACATGTGACTAAGATTCACAGAACCTTGAATCCTGCAGAAAACAATTTATTGTTCAGTAAATCTCCTGTTTTATTAGCCCCCCAAAGCTAATGGGTGTCACATACATACAGGATAACTGCACCTGTTATAAAAACCTGTATGTTTAGGTAACCTTTACATAGAGCTTCGTATAAAGTATGCAAAAAAAAAAAAAAAAAAAAAAAATAGCAAATGTCGAGTTTGAAACCCTCATTCATAGGAGACTTCTGGGAAAAAAAAAAAAAGAAATCCATGAATAGTTTTCATCATTGTTAATCATTTCCCTCTGTTGGAGATATATTGTCTCATAAAGGGATGAAACTACATCAATTAGCGGTCTGGGAGACCATGAGTGCTTGGTTTAAATGTTAAGTAGCATATTAAAATGACAGTTAAATGGTTCATAGACAGTTATCTCTGAGCTGAATTTAATCCTTTGGAGGAAAAAAAAAAATCATGTGTCAATTAAATGGAGAATGAATAATGGCAGTTAGCTTTGAGGTGCCACTAATGCATGTGAACTACTGTGATTTTAGATTAAGAAACCCTCAAATCTCGTTGCCTGGTGTAAGCACCGATAAACATTTAAATCTGCATCTGTATGTTTTAAAATGTTACTCAGCATGTTTTTAACAACCAGAATATGAGGAAACACAAAGACTAACAATGTGATCAAATGACAAAGAAATAATTGAATAAAGAAATAAATGTGACAAAAAAATTGAGTATCACTGGCTTCAAAAAAAATAGCCCAATAATTCAGAGAGTAGCAATTGTAACTGAAATGATAATTGACTTACTAGGTACAGAATGTAACAAGACACTAGTGGCCAAGAGTAGAACCACCCACTACCTTCTTTTTGAGTTTTGTACTAAGTTCACAAATAATTTATATGTGTGAATATCATTTGCAACAACATCAACCAGAGTACAAATCCTGCACTGGCCTCCTAAGGTAAACAAGTGTTGAAGAGTAGAATTAACCAACGACCCAGCTCTCACCTGTCCGCAGTTTGGGACAACTGTCTGAAGTGCAATTTGGAAAATTACATAATAAAACACAAAAAGTATTTTAACATCTGCTTAATGGAGGTGAGGGCTAATTACATTAAATAATTGATAATGGAGCGGACCAATTTACCAATTTTGATAATGACTAACAGACAAGGAAGAAAATCCAAAACTGCCGCCAATTTCTATTGATCTATTTATAGAAAAAAAAGTGGGCATCAATTGCTCCGATTTATTTATTTTTCAAAAATAAGAAACGAAATAGAAAAAAACCCACTAAAGGTTATGCCATTACCTCATTGGCCAATTCCAGCAGGACAGGAGCAGCGGGATGTGCTTTGGCTTCACTCAGATACCTTTATTATAACAAAGAACAAGAAACAACAGTGAAAAGAAAAATGGCCCACAAAGGCAGACAGAAGGGTCGAGGGGACAAGACCAGGCTAGCCAAGACATGCTAATGTCCCTGATGACTTTGCCCTAGGTGGCATATGGCAGGCCCGGTGCGGTTAAAACAGCACTGCTTGAAGGGATTCAAATTTCCTTGAAGCCAGATGATAGTGATAGTTAGTTAACCCCTGCCGCCCAAAAAGCCTTTCTTCCCTCGCCAGCTACAACTGCAGCTCCCCTCTGATCTTACCCAGATCGTCTCTGAGGTTTGTTGTTGTAAGTGGATTAGAAGTGCATTATCCAGCCTTGTTTTCCCCAGAACAATGGCCTAATATGCTAGATAAAGGCTAATTGCAATATGCAAAGAGGTTTCCCCCCCCCTACAGCCTGTTTTTCCTTTTTTAAATTTATCCGCATTCATTGAATTACAGATAATCATCCCATCATAAGCCTGTGTAAGGCAAATGTCCAACGGCTGGTTATATATTTATTTTTCCTGCTTTCAATTTGACATGGAGAACAGAGCTTTAGCTTAGCAGGTGCAAGTGGAGGTCTGGAATGAATCCTGAGGGTGGTGATTTGTTTGGGGGAGATTATATCTGTCATGGTGGCCCACCTACTCCATGACTTTGGCCAGTCCCTTCCACAGTCACAGAACGGGTGAGACAAAGAGAGCACACAAGAGTGTGGGAGACAGATGAAAAATAAGAGTGAAAGAGAAAAATAGTGATGAATGGAAGACAAAGAGAGAGAGTGCTAAAATAATACAATAGAAAGTAATACAGTACCTTTGGTAGTGTCTTTCAATAACGTCTGGTGCATGGTGTCTTGAAATTGTTCTTTTGGTTCGTTTCTTTCAAAAAGAAATGGAACAATAAGGTAATAATAATAATACAAATAATAAAGTTTATTTCCATACAATTCCATTGTTAGGAGGCAACAACTCCAGCCTACAAAATAAAATGCAGACTGGTTCAGCTTTGACTCCTCTTTCATGCTCTATTGTATATGAACAAGCGCAAAAGATCTCGGGTCACAGTTATTTAATTTCAATAAGTTTGCTGGGGGTCAAAGTGTGTCAAGACAACCTTGTTCGAACCCCCCATCCCCTTCTACCCGCCTCACTCAAACCATGTATTCATTTCCCCTTTTTCGATCAAACAATGACCCTATTCCACATTCCATGCAACCCGGACATTTCCATGCAATTCAATTGCCATCTCCCGCGAGGAGGACAAGGGATAAAAGAGGAAGCGCATTGGTTAAAAAACGACTTATTTAAAAACTACTACACACAGAAAATGTAATTCCACAGAGACAGGCAGTGTGACTGACACCTGTCAGGGGGATGATAAATGACTCCATTTTCTGCCTGTGCTGCCTTCTGCCACTGGCGGCAGCGGCCATTTATCATCATCCGCTGTCAGCCGTGGAAAGCAGCAGTGACAGTGCGAGTCAGCAAACATTTAGCACACGCAGCCGCACTACACGGAGAAATTATTATTGTCAGAATAATAATGGTTTAGCATAATTTATTACAGGTCCACCAAATAAGCAGGGGCTAGATGTTATTAGACAGATGGATGGGAAGGCTTGGCAGACATCCACTGAGGCTCAGGCAGGCAAAGGCCCCTCAACGTGAACGTGAGGAGAAGGAGGAGTGGAGGTGGGGGGGTGGAGCTGGAATAAACGGGGGTATGGTAGGGGGGCATCCTCCAAACCAATCAGTGAGCTGGCAGTTCAATTACAAAGAAATAAAGGGACATTCATCATTCAATTAGGCACCTGTCAGGGCTCACAAAGGAAGAAAACTTCTAACCTGGTACTCCAGGGAGAAGATGCTCAGAAGAGTGGACTGCGAGTGACTGGAACAAATAAAAGAAGGACAAAGTTAATTACCAGAGTGCATTGCACAGAGACAAAGGGAGAGGGGGAGCTTCAAAGATGGGGCCAGCTGCACTGTAATCTAAAAGAACATGAAAACAAGTGTGGCAAAGTTGTTCCAGATGAACACCTCTGACAAAAGATTTCTGCCACGATGGTGTGGGGGTGGGAGAAAGGGGGAGGCTGAGTGTTGTATGAGAGATCTACTTTCACTCATTTATACATACCGTCTTCCCCCTCCCCCCTTCTCTACAGTAAGAGTACTGAAAGCTAAATTGTTCTTCAGTAAAGTGCAGTTTCTTCAGTCAAAACCAAATATGGCATAAATTGGAGGGAAATTAATGACATTCATGCAAACGATTGAATGGATTAAAGGCCAGAGAAAGACAGCCTTCACTGGCAATAACACTCCCTTGTTTGGTCGATGTCTCTTTTGCAATGCGGTTGACCACTTTGAGAGTGTGTATTTGTTTGTGCGAGTGGTGCAATACACAGATAGGAGAAAGTTTTGCAGCTCCACTGTCAGAGCTGGCATATGGACCATTGTGAAGCAATCCCACTGCAACTGATGGGCTTTGAAAATGGAAACTTTCACTCCAGGAAGCTTGGACTCCCAGGAGTCGGTCAATTCCATGGGTTGCCATAAGTTACATTCATCACCAGCTCTAGTCAATGTCAAACACCTGGCAGAGAGAGGCAAACCTGGAAAACAGGCTGCTCCAACAAGGACTCACAGCCCCTTCGATACGCCTCTCCAACCCCCACAGCATCCTTTTGGGTTGAAGATATTCAAAGCGGTGACAGTTATTATTGTAATTGGATAATACATACCTCTACCCTGCATATCATTAAAACACCAATACAGTAAGCGTGAACACATGCAGACACAAACTGCTCTGCGATGGTCTTCAGTAGTGTTGTGTCTCCATATACTGCTCTCAATACACTTGATTGTTAAATGTAATGGGACTTTTCGTTACAAGTCATGTGAGAATGGTATGTAAATACTGAAGCTTCCAATCTGCATTGAAATATTGAGTCCACATTGGCTTTCAACATCAATCACTACAAACCATGAAATAACTACTTGACATGTAAACAAAGCCAAAGGAATCTCAAACATTGGTTTCTGTCTGGAGTCTCAGTCTGTGACCATATCTTAATAAAAACATGTCAACCACTGGAATACTTTAGCAGTTTTAATGACTTGCCCCACCAAAGACGTCATATTGGGTTCTCCAGATGCCACTTTCTAAAGAGTTTTACTGCTCTGGCTGGAGAACAGCTAATTCTCAACTATGCAAACTCTCTGGGGCTCGACCCATCACACAGATGAGTGTTGTCTCGAGTCTTGTCAAAGAGTGAATGAACAAATGTTTGAAGTAAAAGAGAAGAGGGGGAACTCTCAGAAAACATTGCTACCTCAGCATTCATTTACAATGATGCTTGGGGACATAGGGGCCACTGCAATTAAGTGGGCCATTAAGTGGTCAACTGTCAACATGTGGACACTTAAAGGAGGAAAAAAAAATTCTTCCACACTTCAACCTTGCACCTGAGCATTTCAACAACATTAAGGCCTTATTGTTGGCATGGGACCATGCCGATCCCCCTATAGGAACAGACATCTGTTAGGTTTTAAATGGATTACTCTCTGTAATAAGCATGATTACTGCCTAATTGCTAAATCTATACCCTGTTAACTTTAAAGGGACATAAACTGCTCTAAATATCTGGGAAAACATATCCGTTTCAAAAACACTACAAACTTTAGGCGAGTTTAGTTTTTTCTTCGTTACCTCAATCCGTTTCTGCCGACATCAAAACTGGACAAAAACATCATAAACGCTGAAAATGACTCGAGTCCTGAAACGAGAACAAATATTAAGATTTGAAAGAGATAAAAAAAAAAGAAAAAAAAAAGGTATGGAGCAATGTAAAGAGATGAGGGCAGATACCTGGAACAAAACCAAGAATTTTACACTGCGCTCATATTGTATAATGGCCTTTTTGCCATTTAGTAGACATTCATAGTAAGTTATTGCAGACTTTACATTAATGTATATCCAATCTGTGCTCTCCTGGGCACAGTATGCTCACTTCATGCTAAAATATGGAGCCATGTGCAGTCTTACAATGGGGATCTGATCTGCCTGCTGCACGGTAGCTGTAACACATCCAACACCTTGCCTCATAATACCAGCATTAGAGGGACTCGGCCCTCTTTCACTGGCTATACATATAAATTAACTGATACAAAAAACTATTCCAAAACCAGATTTATTTCTCTCTGCCTTTTTTCTGGCTTTAAACAAAGCTGCATTTTATTCAGATTTGTGCAGATTATGAGAAGGATTAGTTTCTGTATGAAACATTTCTAATGCTTTGATATGACACGGAAATAAAGTAGAGAAAAAGACAACAAGGTAACAAGACTTTTATATGAATTTATTTAAAATAATTGTTAGATCAGACAACTTTCTTCTCAGAGATAGTCTGGGGGAACCTGAACTCTAACGGTATATCCACATAGACGGACAAATCAGTTTTTTTTTTTACCGCATCCTTAAGACGTCTCTGTAAACAACCGAGTTCATCAATCTCTGTCCTCATGACTTTGCCTGCTTCATTGTGCATCGTGAATTAGAAAGAGGTTTGACAGTTTGGTTTCAAACCAGCGTTGCATTGTTGAAATTTATAAACGCAAACAATGAACATTTCAGAGAGTCTGGGACACTGCAGTACATCTTCATGTATGTAAAAATTCTCCCCCTCTTGGATATAATTTAGAACATGGGGAAACAGAAGGTTGGGAGACAGAAGAGTGGTTAGGGAATCATTCACTCTAAACCTAATTACCCTTCCTCACAACATAAGACAGAGCATTAATATGCACTGGCACCCAAAATAGTAAAGCAGCAGATTAAATTAAAAACAATTAGGGACTTTCACTTTGTCACTGGGCTGGTATGCCTGTCTGGTCAGTGCTTTAGGCTCTATTAAGTTAGGCTATCTACTGGTTATGAATCCGACAAATTCACATTTGAATCTCCTCGTGCATTCACAGTGCATCAGTGTCTTAAGCATATAGGAGAAAGCAGTAGCAAAAAAGCCTAGAAATTCCCATCAACTAAATTAATAGGAGATGGGGGAAATACAAGCGATCAATTATATTCGAAATCTTCCTATTTACAAATAATTAATCATAAACAATAGCTGTAATTTAGGTAATGAAAGCCACCTGGCTAATGGCATTGGTATCATATGCTGCGACAGTACTTAGCATTTGGTGGATCTGCATGCAGAGAGTGTTGCATGGTGTGACTCTTCAGGGCATGGAACTGGCTAATTAAGGCGTAGCACATATTTTTACTAATGGCGAAGAAGCTATTTAAAAAAAAAAAAGAAAAAAAAAAAAAAGAAAAAGGGAATGACATGGATGAAATGATTCACTACAAAGTAATATTGCTTAGTTTTCACACTTGGATCTATTGCTATCCACACCTCTATCACGTGAATTATTAGCTAATGCTACCCTAGCATACTTGGGATTCATACATAATTTCATTCAAAGCAAAGTTACTGACAATAATATATTGTGCATTTACTTTCCTGTGGATCAATATTTTATAAAGTGAAAAACAGCTGAATGTGGGTTAAACACTCTGGATATGCAAATGCTGCTAATTACACATGCTGATAGGCAAAATGCTAACATCTGTTTCTCAGCTAAGCCTACCGTCATCAGCAACAAAACAAATGTGTACCGAAAAAAAATCTTTACGCGTTAATGTATAAATGTGATATATTGTGACAAGAGATAGAAACAAACACAAATCTCAGTGTGTCATGCAGCTTCATACAAATACTTGCACAATGAGCACACGTGTTTACAGTTCAAATTAGTTTTACTTCCCCCCCCCCCCTGCAAAACAACTGTAAAGCCTTCTTCCTCTTACAGTCAATGCAACAGTCATGTATGGTATTTACTGTAGTTGCAGCAATTATTTTCTTTTTTTTTTATAGTTTTGTTAGTTAGCATGTAAAGGATGAGAAATGAAAAGTATACTCTATATTTCTAAACTTTTATTTTCATCAAAACTGAAGAAAGATTCACCAAAAGTCTGACTTTGAGTAAATTCTACTACATTTACCGATCGTGCCCCCCCCCTTCCGACTGTCTCTGCAGAAGGCCACAGACCTACAAGCCTGGGGGGGGGGGGGGGGGGGGAGAGACTGTGGACAGAAAATATGACCCTTATAAAGCCATCTTCACATTATTACAATCTTTAAAATTTCTGTCTGCTGAGGTGCCCTGAGATGTCAGAGCTGTTTTATAATGGTGGCAAAAAGAGTGGGAAAGATCCCACAATCACCACCTTAATTGTGATTCCTCCTGAAAGCTAGGGGTCTTCACGACTCTCTGTGTGACCGAACATGTTAAAACTATAATGTTGCGTTGCCATTGTCATAGTGTAATTATTGTCATCGTTGCTTCTGCAAATTCTCATGGAAATTGAAAATGGGGTCCATGTTATCTGTCAAGTGGCGAGCGTCCGCTGGTCTGGCAAAGAAACACATTATGCTGACCAATTGCCTACTCCCCCAAGCGTGGCTGGGGAACTTGTACCATTCTGGGCAATTTGTTTCATTCTTCTTTTGCAATTGATCCCAGTATGCAAAGAGAACCTGGGGCAAGAGAGTCTACCATAGCTTCCCAGCTGAACTGTGCTGCTCTATGCTCTAGGTTTCCCTCTGTGTGCGTTTGGCTTTGGGGGGGCGACACTGACAAATACAGTGGACAATGTAATGGTCTCACTCACAATAAACCATATTCCTGTGTCAATAATTTGCCTCTACTAATCCAATAAGAAAAGTTTTCATTCTTCAAGATAGTGTCCCTTACAATCGCTTACTTAAACAACAGGCTGCTTACCTCGGTGTTTTTTTAGCCCAATGAGCCGAAAAGGCTTTACAATCTACTGTATAGACTAGTGTGCTTGGACAACGTCCCTAAGATATGAAGAGAAAGTAGTCATTCCTGGGCTTCCTAATCAAGTAATTGATTGCATCTATTATTCATGAACTCCTTAGCTTGCCACGAAGTTGTAAACTCAGCACAGCTTCTCTTCTTTCCACATCTCTCTTCTCTGCTTACACTTCATTCATCCCTTCACTCTTCCAATGCTCATCTAACCACATAAAGCTGTGGAATTAGTTTGCTATCCTCTCAGCCCTCAAGGGTTGTACCCCTAAGCTTCAACTGCCAGTTTGCGTTTTGCTCAATATGGGCGACCAGAAGTGTGAGGCCGTGCACCGGAGGCCGTCGGGGCTGCGCCCCCACAGGCTCTACACTAGATCAGTCTCTGGGTAATGTCATTGCCACTTCCAGGCTACAAAAAAAGCTGGCGTATTCTACCTTCACAAGAGCTACAACAGAGCAACTTTGTTGATTCCACAGAGACGATGGCGGCGATCACAGTTAAATGTAGCAACACTCCAACTGGCACCAGCACTGTTTATAGTTTTATATATTCCAAACTTCGGCAGTATGATTACGTCTTTAGATGCCCTCTCACCTTTTTAAAAAGCATTTGTTTGTCTTTAATTTTCAGGTTATTAAGTGGGCCAGTATAACAATAATCGTGGTTAATGTAGATAATTCTGCTGTTTGATTGAGACTAATGCATTATCTGAATTGCAATTTTCTGATGAAGTTATAGAACAATATTACTAATCTTCTGAAACAATTGATTGGGGGGGTGTGAGTCTTAAAAAGATACATGTTTAACATAAAAATAACTGTAAATTAATTCCCAAAACTCTGCCCTACACTGTAAAATATAGTTTGATATAAAAGTATTTTTAAAAATACACAGATTTAGCTGAAAAGTCAACTAAAAACAGTCATAACTGTCAAGTCTTTTTTTGAGTTATGGAGCTATGAAGTTAACTAAATGTATAAAGAGCTTGCCAGTTTAATGCATTGTGCCTGTTATCAAATCCTAAACTTCATCCGGCATGTAAAAAGAAAAAAGAGATAAACACTACAGCCACAATAAATAATCAATGAGCTAGTCCCTAAGCTTCGTCCCGGGTCTAGATATTACCATCAAAAACAAAGTGTCTGTAGCCAAGAAATCACCATATCAATGGCACATGCCACAACAACCCTGTCCCACGCTTTCCTTCCAAAGATCATGCTAGATAAACCCCAAATAACAGAGAAATTAACAAATGCTTGACATTTGCTCAACATCCATTATTCTGACACTTCTTCAGAATTTCAAAAGGCTGAACGCATGCTTAATCAACATTCATATTCCCAGAGCGAGCCCCAGCACCATATTGCAGCCCGCCTCAGTGCTGATGAAAACGGCACATTAGGGCCCGATTCGAAAAACGTTCAGGGACTCCTCACCAGGGAGCTCAGTGTATATGTGTGTGTGTGTGTGTGTAAAAGAGAGAGAGAGGGGCTGTGTTTAGAGGGGAGGGATGCGTCACACTTTACTTTTTAAGCATTTTCCAAAAAAGAGGCATCTCCCCCTTCCTGCACCCCCTCCTACTGTCATGACTGTGAAAGCCATATGAGGAGTGAGCCTGAATGGCATTTTAAAGAGGCGGGGGGGGGGGGGTTATCATTACATCCAAATTCATTCATAATACAGCACAGAAGGACACAGAGGACTCTCATACTCCCTCCCTCTTTTTCTCGCCCTTCCTACACAGACTCTCTCTGGGGACAAAGGGTGGAAGGACTGGAGTCCCCTCTAGACCCAAGGGAAGCCAGGCAAGGCCTCAGAGAGCAGCCCATCATTTCCAATTCTAATACGTGGCAAGAGAAGGACCTGATGGGACTGATGTCACATTTTTCCCCACACCGACCTGTGATGAGCCGTCCCACCCCCCCCCCCCCCCCCTGCCTAGCCGCGGTCCAGATACTAGGCAGGACACCGCGGCTGGCTAAGAGGAGGGCAAGGAAGAGAGGGCTGGAATGGGGGTTGATATTTGCATGTCCCTCCATTGTGAGTGGGGGTAAAAAGTGACAGCACCGTGTCCAATTCTTTCCCCCCCAGAGCAGCCCGGGCCCGGCAAGAGAGGCCAGGCTGACAGATGACTCCCAACATCTGTGTTATGCAGCCGTTACAGATGAGGGACTCCACGTCACATCTCTCTCTTTCTGTGTCTATGGGACACTCCCTCTCTCCTCCCACTACCCATACTCGTAGGACAACAGAAAGACTGACAGACTTTCCGTGGAAATTACCTTGAAATGGCCTTTAACAGTCATTTTATTCAAAGTTTAAATTTTCCTCCCCTTAAGTCCCAAATTAAACGCAATGATTATGAAATGAGTTTGAATTCAATACAGCATTCAGAGATTTGAGGATAATGCTTATTCATATTGATAGACATCATTGTAATGCAAATATAATTATTTTATATAAAAATGGCCTTTAATAGTTAAATAAAACAATATCAATAAGAATATATTGTTTTTACATTAATAAAGTAAGTCAGGACATGAAACATTTATAAAAATGATGTTCAACACAATGATATAATGCATAAATATATTCCAGTTTCACATTACAGGCAAATCTTCAATAACTTCAGTATTATGTTTTAATTACAACTTGCTAAGAAACATTAATTTAGTCAGCAAATTTGAATGAAATGTTAACACGGAACCATGATATCATCACAACATGATTTACCTTAAAGTCAATAACATAATACCGAATTATCTGTTTTAAAAACTAAATACTATCGGCACAAATGTATTAAAAAAAAACAAATAAGTCAAAATATAATAAATCATATTTAATGCTAAAATGAGCATTTAACAAAATAGTAGGTAAGTCCGCTGCAACAAAAATGTGGCACATTCCCCTTGAAAAATCTACAACAGCGTCTGTCATGATGCTGGTAGACAACACATGAATCTACAGTCTACACTCAACAGTGCTTGCATCTTTTGGAAATACACCCATGCGGTGTAAAATGATATCCAGATACCCGTCTTTCTTTTATCTCTCCGAGTATTATAGTCAGAGAGATAGAGTGCAGCCTTGTCCACAACAAACCCCTAACCCCCCCCCCCTCCAGCCAACCTCAGCCTGGCCAATATTTACGCAGTGGCAGGGCTCCCACACAGTCCAAGGGGACAGGAGGGGTGTGGGGCGGGGGTGGCTGACTGCCGTGCCTGAGCGCATGCTAAGAGATGATGGATGGCCTAGTCGATATGTTATGTCTTAAGAGCCTGATTTCCTGCCAGTCCAATCACTAACCCTCCAGAGCCCAGCTCAGCTGATTGGACAACCAGAATAATTTCGCAGGCTGTGAAAACACTGCTGCCGTGCCTGTCTGTCAGGCCCAGTGACGAGACTCAGGGACTTAAAGAGCAAGGGCCTCCCCAAGATTGGTTACGGTGAACGAAATGATAACAATAACCGGCAAGACTAAACAAAAGAGCCAGCACGTCCGGGAGAGAGAGAGAGAGAGAGAGAGAGAGAGAGAGA